TGAAATCCGTCCCTTTGACTGTGAAACGTATCAAGGTTACAGATGCACTGGTTGCAGGTAAACAGCTTTGGACAAGTGGATACAGTCCACTACTAAGTGATTTAACATGGTGTTTAATTTGGACTTTTAATGGTCCTGTTACCGTTATGTAATGGCATTCAGTATTGAATTCATCCAAAAAATTATTTTGCGAAGGAGTCAGGACAAAAGTTTCCATGTAGAGGGAGCTCTGACCCACATCTTCACTCGGAGTCTCCCCCACATCATGCCAGAGAAACTGAAAATGGAGAAAACCATTGGGAAGCAGACCGTTTGTTTTGAGCTTCCGGCAGAGTTGAGTAATTATATCAACAGGTAAGTGGTAATTTGTTGCTGACTGGAAAACAGCAGCTCTAAAGTCTCTTCATGAGAAATACTTCACCCAAAAAGAAAACCTGTGACATTTAATCACCATTATGTTGTTTTGAAGCTGTGAAAAAAATTAGTTTTTTTTAAGGATCTCCTGACCATTGATTTTAATATCATAGATCGAATGGGGACTGAATCTTTCAAGCTTCAAAATGGCAAAAAAAAGTGTTTAAATGCAACTTGTGTGCTGCGCATAATAACTTGGCGAGCTTCAAGGACTACAAAGTTGCATTGACTATGAAAATAAGATGTCAGCGCCATTGATTTTTGCATGTATCGAGACCAAATGTCAATGGTGCCATATTTGATTGAAGATCAAATATGGCACCATTGGAAAGATTATGAGTGAATAATGACTTATGCTTTGGTCTGTTCCTAGCATAAAGCTATATTATGGCCCCAAAAGACTTAGCAGACAAGTCATATGAACTAATTTTATGTTACTCTTTGCTAGGGTTGTATGAAATAGCTGTACCATATTGTAATTGACCGATATTAGAGATTTTCTTATTTAGGTGTCTTTGTTATGCAGAAGATTTAATTGCACATGCTAATTTTCCTTTTTTTAACATTTTGATTACTTTTGCCATCATCTAATGCTCATTTAATCTTAGTAGTAATTGAATAGTGCTGTTAAATGTAATATTTCTGTCTAATTTCTATTTATTAAAATCAATATCCCCATTTTTC